TCATAACATGTATCGTCTCTTTCTTTCTTTCTTTTTTCAAGTATTTGTACTCAAAATATATATACAACCAACCATACTTCAACTCAATAATAATAACATTATAAATTATATCATACACAAGATAATAAGTTAAACATTATAATTTTTATATATAAAAGTATATTACAGCAAAATATTAGTTCTTCCAACTACATCAATTATATAACAAACTTATTTATCCAAACATCTATTTTCCAGATCGAGGGTGCGATGTATCTAAAAACATAGTTATATTAAACATAATTAAAAAAAATTACATATTTTAATAAGTAATTGATTAAGAACTAACTATTCATCTACATTAAAGTGATTTTCATATCATCGAATAAATTGTTTTATTTTCTTTTTGAAATTTCTAATCTCATAAATTCTCTTCTAGATATAAGGATAAATCTACTAAAATAAAAATATCAAGGGTGTCTCCTACGACCATCATATTTAATTTTAAATTTTTACAATTAATATATTTTATATTGAATAATTAACCCATTAATTCATAAATTAATTTTCTTAATATAACCATTTAACCAAGTATAAATTCCAATAGCAAGAAATAATCTTTAAGGCTTGCCCATTTACCAGCATATTATTTCCAATAACCATAAAATAATTTTTAAGACTTGCCCATTTACGAGGGCATTATTTCTAGTAATCAGGAAATAATCTTCAATGCTTGCCCATTCTCCAGGGTATTATTTCTAGTAATCAGGAAATAATTTTTAAAGCTTGACCATTCACCAGAATATTATTTCTAGTATTCAGCACTAAAATTTACAATCTCTAAAAACTTTTCTACAAATAAAAACTAATTAATTACTTCAAGGTGTTGAACACTTACCTGGTGTATGTATACATGAAAAGATCCCTTATTACTGATTAGGTCTTGCGGCCTTTTCTGTACCAATAAAAATTAATTTGTCATTGTTCATTGATTTGAACCTGTAAAAATCTAATACCCATTACATATTCTTTAATTAAACCCAACACCCTTAATTAAGCTAAATTGACTTATAATTCAATAATGATAAAACCTCTTTTTTTAAAACATTTACTTATTTTTTTTTTATAAAAGTCCCTATTAAATTTAACCTATCAACATCAATTGTTTTCAATTTGGCAAGATTCCTTAATAATATTTTAGAACTTCATTCTTTAATTTTTCTTCTCCATTTAGCCGAAAATAACCTAGGGAAGGAATTGAAGATTTTTCTTTTCTCTTTGAAAAATTCTTACTCCATTCATATAATAACACTTATAAACCTTTATATTCCCATATTTTCCAAACAATTGTATTAAACCTCAAATCTCCTAAATTATTTTTCTTTTGGCCAAATATTCAATTAAAATAGGGAAAAATAATTTTTTCTTTTATTTAAAATTAAACACTTATATAATTATAATTCATGCTATCTAACATGGTACAAACATAATTTGCATTATTCCTACAAATTATAACATAATTCCACAGCTTCACATAATCGTAATTTTGTATAATTCTTCATTAAATATAAAATTAAAAGAATTAATCATTTAGAGCATGTTATTTACCTCACTTTGATAAGGATTTAAAGAAAGAGTGCAAGAAAAATCAACTTTTCTTCTTTTTTCTCTTCAAACCCTAGCTTGAAAACCTTCCTCCAATGTACTCACCACCTTAAATTCACCCCTCTTGATGTTTAATTGAGTTAATCATTCTAATTACTCAATTTAATTAGTGTAATCAATAAGAATTTAAGTAGAAAAATCATACAATTCTTCCCTTCTCTCTTTGTTTCAAGCTCACGGCCAAAAGAGAAAAAATAGAATATTTATAGTCTAACTTTTATTTATTTACATATTGACCCTCATTTCTTCTCATTTCTATTTTTATCACCCCACTCTTTTTTTTTACTTAATTCACACCATAATATCTTATATTTTATTATATCTAATTACAATACTTGAAATTCTTTTATTTAATCTATTCGGTACTTTATTTATTTTACTCAGATTATAATTTAACGGTTTTTTTCATAAAATATTATCTACTTATTGAGTTGTTGAACTCACCTTCTCGTTATTTATCTTTTTAGGCTTATAGCTTGTTAGTGAGTAATTTTTGTTGAGTTTTCAAAACCTACTCTTTTATTAAAATTTGTATTTTTTTTATGTCTAATTAGTACTCCACAATTATGAACTTGTATTAACTCTTGTATTAAGATAATTGAATTGTATTATAAGTTAATTTTATTATTAATAATGCGTTGAACTCTAATTGAATTGTTTAAAGGATACATTTGTATGCAAGTCTAGTTTACCTATATACGATACTAAAAAATACTATTTCTTGTCAAATATTGTGTGATGCTGCAGGGTATATTCCAAGATTCATTATTTTTAAAATAAACACTACTTATTAATAATCGATCATAAATACATAAATTGATTTGCTCATTCAAACGTTGTTTCTTTGTATGTAAATGTCCTCAGAAAAGATTAGTACTGAGAGTCAATGTTTTACATTCAACTAGCCTCCATCTTTATTACACGGTGATGATCATTTTTTGAACTTATTTAAACAATATATATTAAAATATATATTAAAATAATATATATATTATTTTTTATATCTACTTATTTAAGAATAATATTTCCAACACGGTCAAAAGCTGCCATTGTGCGTGTGTACGCACAAGGAAGAAAGAATAGCATGCACGTATAGAATAAGTCGGATGCTCCTAGCTAATGAAGCATGTGCGTGTGTCCACAGTAAAGCCCAAGACGACTCTAGAAGAGAATATGAATCTCCATGTGAGCACTGTTTTCGAACTTCACGTGTAAGTTAACCCGAGCTTGAAGCCTTGTCTCGATAAAAATAGAGGGAGGGAGGGAGGGAGAATTTGCCCTACATGACTCGTAAAAAACCCCTTACCTAGTTACCTCGGGAAAATAGAATATAAGTGAAGGTCAACCAGTATTTGATGGCTGGCTGTCTCCATCAAGCGAACCCAGTCCGTGTAATAAAACGCGGTGTTCTCTGTTTCTTTTCATTAATAAATTGGTAATAACACGGTTTACCAACTAATTGAATTCAAAGTGGTAGTCACCAAGAGACCGAATGAAAAAAATATTAATCCCTTAGTCCTCAAGTTAGGCAGGTCGTTAAGCAGCCGATGTGCCTGGGCCTCGACAGTAACTAAAGGGGTATCAAATTAAAAAAATAAAATAAAATAATCATTTTGACTGCAACTACATAATTTAAAACTTGGCACACCGCGTGACATCCAGGTAGACTAAAGCAAGCCGGGAATCACGCGGCGCGGCCCCTTTGGACCCCCTTACACTGTCCCTACTGCACTAGTAGTGAACTTGTTTTACTATCTTTAGAAAAACTAAGATTAAATCTTGTTTCCTTAAATTAATCCCGCCTGCAGACCCTCTTTCTCGTTGTTGTATACACGGAAAAACCCAGAAAAACTGGTCCTTGTTGTTGAATTTTATACATAATTAAATTGTCAATCTCAACCTCAAAAATAAAAACAACCTATCCAAGCTCGCCAATACACTATAGAGAGAGAGAGAGAGAGGCAAGATTCGAAGACTATTAAAGGCTCAGCGGCGGCAAGAGGATCGGAGGCAGAGAACAATATCGCAAAAACTTATGGCAGAAGGAGGGACTACCTTAGAGTATACTCCCACATGGGTTGTGGCGGTGGTTTGCTCTGTTATCGTTCTTATTTCTCTTATTGTTGAAAGAACCCTCCACTACCTTGGCAAGGTCACCCATCATCTTCCCTCCCACATACATCTATATATGTTATGTTGCATGATCAGTGATCAATTCATTTAATCCCCATCCATGAATTGTTCATCTTTCTTGCTGCATATACATGGAAGAGAATTAATACTCGTGCGCTAGTACTGATCATCCTGATAAATATACTCAATAACGTTTCTATCCCTGGCTGTCTGCAGTTGTTGAAGAGGAAACACCAGAAACCGCTCTCTGAAGCCTTACAGAAAATCAAAGAAGGTAAAATAATAATATTCATATGATTCCTATATATATATGGTAGGCGCGCGCGCGCAGATTGATGTGTAGAATCTTGATTTTGATGGTGGTGGTGGTGCAGAGTTGATGCTTTTGGGGTTCATATCACTGCTACTGACAGTGTTCCAGGGAAGAATTAACACTATCTGCATTTCTAAAGATTTGTCAAAAAAAATGCTGCCCTGCAAGGACGAAACTAAAGAAACCACTACTGCCCATTTTCAGACTTTCTTTTCCTTCGTTCCTGGTGGGATTTCCCGTCGCCTTTTAGCCGAGGCCTCCTCTGCTAATTCTTGTTCCGAGGTAATCAATCTCTCCTTCTATATGTTCTTATTTTTGTCATCACTGGTAGTGAGCATCAAGTATACAGTTATCAAAAGTAGTAATCAAAAGTAATAATCAAAAGTAATATTAATTTGGTTGGAGTGGATGGCAAGGCATCATGAATATGATTCCGCATGCACCAACAACGTTTCCTTTTTCTCTTTTCTTCCAATAAAAAAAGACCTCTAATTATATTATCGTGTTGTGGGGGACATGAGACAGGACTTGGATAGCTCCACAATAATATAATATAATCAGGTTGAGATATAGATAATTACACGTAAAACTGAAAACTTACGTTTGATTATCAGTAATGTATTAGAGTTCTTGCACCTCGGGAGACGCTCAGACCTCAACTGAAGTCTGAAGATGTTCGGTGCTTAATCTGGATTATAATATTTGGCTTTACTTTTTCTAGTCAATGAAAGAAAAGAGAGTTTTCGGGAAGATGTAATGACCTGTTTGGCACCCTTGTTTGTAACTATTGTAACCTCTTTTTCCATAGAGACTCTAGTTCCTGTTCATCCAATTATGATTACCTTTACAAAATTGGAGTAATTAGGCCTAGCTACTATATATACTTGCTTCTTCTAAAACCTTCAATTGCTTGTATCTGTTCGGCAGAATTTCATTAGCCGTGACATCTCTGTAGTGAGAAGAAAAAGTTCGTTAGTTTAGTTTGAAAATCATGCTCTCACAAATATTCAGGATTACTCATTGCTCACTGTACCTTAATTAATGGTGTTTCACAGTTGAAACCACATGCAGTTTTAGATGCCTTGCTTAAGCATAATATGAACATCGCTTGTAGTATCGACTGTGCTTTGTCCTTTGAAGTATGGATTTACGCAAGCAGCATTTCTTTTCTGGATAATTAATAGCTTCAATAAAAACAAAGTTTGAAAACACATTTGACAGGATTGGGTGAATTCATGTGTCTTGTAAGAAAGAATTTGTGACCTTTTTTAGCCATGTGATCTAATGGAAAATTCATATTTACAAGTGCGTGCCTAACATCTTTCCTTTTTTCATCACGTTGCAGGGAAAGGTTCCACTGTTATCTACAACTGCACTGCATCATCTTCATATATTTATCTTCGTGCTAGCTTGTGTGCATGTGGTTTTCTGTGTTCTAACCATTCTTTTTGGAAGCGCTCGGGTAACTTCCACATATTCATTTGCCTTTTTTCCCTCTAATTTTTTGTCTAATTTTGCATTATTTTCTGATCCCTCGTATTGAATACTGTTTGTTACATGTCTTCGCTGGTGCAGATAAGGCAGTGGAAACTTTGGGAGAATTCTATCTCAAAAAAGGAACAAGATCCGGAAGAAGGTAATGCTTGTTAATGGCTTTAGTTTGCTTGTCCTTTTACATGCTTGTTCTCCTGAGAATTTTATCGTAGTTACACTGATTTAACTTCAGAATGAACTGATGTCATTCCTATACTTTCTTCAATAGCCAACTCCTCCTTTTGTTGATTTTCTTCTTGCTTGTGCTAATATATTGCAGCTCAAGGTCCAAAATTTACTCATGTTAAAGAACATGATTTTATCAAGTCACGATATCTGGGTTTTGGAAAGAATTCCTACATCCTGGGTTGGGTGGTAAGTCCTTCCACAATTTCAGATACTAAAACTAATAGAAATTACAAACACTTTGACCTGTTCTACATTAATATTTTGATAAGAAAAAATTGATTTACCTTAATATTTTGAATTGAAATGTGTCCTGTCTGAGGATGAATTTCTGACTCCAAGAAAGCACTCCCCTATGAGTTTTTCACTTCAAAAATGTCTGAAAAATATGAACTAGAAAATTTATCATAGCAAATAGCTCTTAGCTGCAAAAGCGTGCCCTCTGTGCGTGCAGAATTAATGGCAGTCTTGTGCAGTAAACATTAGTCAGCTGGGGTTAATAAAATTAAATAATCATGTGTTATGAACTTATGATATGTGTGGCTTTCTTCATATCAGAAGAGTACGTGTCAGAAATTACTCATCCTACTTTATGTTTCAGCATTCATTTTTCAAGCAGTTCTATGCATCTGTAACAAGATCCGATTACACCACGTTGCGACTGGGCTTCATTATGGTGAGTTTAGGACTCTATTCATGCAAATTTCTGTGTTTCTTTCCATTTTTAACATTTTTTCTAAAGACTCATTGCAGGGGAAACCCGAAGTTTGATTTTCACAAATACATGATGCGAGTCCTTGAAGCTGACTTTAAGAAAGTTGTTGGAATAAGGTTTGTAATTTTCACATTAATCTAATCTTAATTTATGCAATGTAAACTATTTTATCATGGAAAATTACATTACATTCATGCAAATTGAACTGCTAGTGTTGCATGTTCAGCTTTTTCAAATAGCATATCATCATTTCATTAAGTAGTTCTTCTGCGCAAAGTGAATGCACTAAATTCTGGTTTCATGGCTGCAGTTGGTATCTTTGGCTATTTGTGGTTATCTTCTTGTTTCTGAACGTTTCTGGTAAGCTAGTTAATTTTGTTCATCAATAACTAGAGCATCCTTTTGCATCTCTTATATTGAAATCTGTTCTTTTAGTAGCGGAGCACGCCATTTTTTTTAATGCAGCACAACAGTATGGAATTTGGCAGCAGTTAGGATAATTGAGGAGTAAAATGCAGGCCGCACTGCACTACACCACACCATGTAAACAAACAAATGGTTTAGGCATGCTTGGGGATGATGTTGAAACCACATTCCTTTAAAATTCAAAATTTTGTTTTTTTAAAAAATTAATTTTTTAATGTTTTCATATTATTTTGATGTGGTGATCTTAAAAATAATTTTTTAAAAATAAAAAAAAATATTTTAATGAATTAAAAAAAAAACACTTTAAATCACAACCACTACTATAATATCAAAAATCTCTCAGCCATTAGCCATTAGCCATTAGCCATTAGCCATTAGAATTAGAAAGGAGAAAACCAAGTTCCAAAAAGTTTTGATTTCCAAAACAAGATGTGTTAATGACAAGCCAAAACCTTTTCTTTTTCTCACTCTTAAAGACTGCCTTGTAAGTTTTGCTGATAAAAAATAATTAAGCTGATGCCATATTCTCTGTTTCCATCCTTTCCTGCTGTATGAAATCATTACGTAACACAGAAGGTTGTGTTAAATCCAATATTTTTGGTATGCAGGTTGGCATGCATATTTCTGGATTGCATTCATACCCTTCATTGTAAGCTGTCTCCAATCCTATATTTTTTGCTTTTATTATGCATGAAAGAAGTTGATAGAGAGTTAATTTTTTTATTTATTTTCTTTTTATGATGGTGCTCTTTTTGCAGCTTCTGCTAGCCGTGGGTACTAAGTTGGAGCATGTGATTATCCAATTGGCCCGCGAGGTTGCTGAGAAACATGTAGCAGTTGAAGGGGATTTGGTTGTTCGACCTTCAGATGATCACTTCTGGTTCAACAAGCCTAAAATTGTTCTCCTTCTGATTCACATCATTTTATTCCAAAACTCTTTCGAACTGGCATTTTTCTTCTGGATATGGGTAAAGACACAGCACCATTGCACTACACTTGAAACAACATTCAGCAAATTACTGCATGAATATATGACATTTTTCACTGATTATTACAGGTGCAGTATGGTTTTGACTCCTGCATAATGGGACAAGTTGGTTATATTATTCCAAGACTTGTTATTGGGTAAATTCACATCCATGTCTATTGTGTTTTCTACATATATGTTGATGCACAAGTCCTAATTATATGCTCTGTTTCAATGCCAATTCCATCTTTTAGGGCATTCGTTCAGTTCCTCTGCAGTTACAGTACCCTGCCACTCTATGCCATTGTGACACAGGTAAGTTAGATTTTTCTCAACAGAAGCTGTTGTGGTGCCTATCTGTCTCGAGTAAGCATAATCCAGGACGTGAGACACAGAAAGTGTAATTCTATTTGTGTTTTTTATAATGCAGATGGGAAGTTCATTCAAGAGGGAAATATTTGAAGAGTATATTCAAGAAGGGCTTGTGGGTTGGGCTAAGCAAGCAAAGAAGAAGGCAGGGCTGAGAAGGGCTGCAAATGAGTCTAGCCATAATCAAGTAAGCCCCAAAGAGGAGTCTCCTCTGATTCAGATGGCAAAAGCTGGATCTAGGGAAACTGCAGTGGAAGAGAACAAATCAGGAGAGATTGTACATGGAACTGCCTCCTAAGGAACTACCATGGGAGTCACTCAAGCATCAATGTACTTGCCAGTACATACGTTCATAGAGTTGATGTATACAGCTTGAGTTACGTGGGGAAATTTTAAGATTTTAAAATTGAAATTTTAATAAGAGATGAAGATATAGTTTAGTAAATCCATCATAATTTTCAATTTAATTGTATTAAAACTAAATTTTAATAGAAAATTATTAAGATTTTATTTCATGTTCATGCAGGGTTAAAATTTGATAATAATTTGAGATCGAAAAGGCATTCAACGGAAATTACTGTTCAAGAATGTATTTATTTTCCTTGTTACATTTATTTTTTAATTTAAATTAAAACTTTAAGTTAACAAGTATTTTATTATTTAAAAATCATAATACTAGATGAGGATGAGTTTGAATTATGAATATTTTTTATAAAAAAATTTAGTTTTAAGTATTAACTAAGAATTCGGGGTTTTAAGAATAATATAAATAGAAATTTCTAGTTTATTTTTTAAAATTATTATTAAGACTTAATAAAACACTAGATTTTTCTGAGTTTCTCTATTGGTTGTAATAGATTTCGCACCTGGAGCTTGGTTTTACCAACCAAAATGTATATTCAAGTTGGAAATGAAGAGACCTTTAACATGTATTATTTTTTTCACACGTGGAAGTGTCAAGACACAGAGATGCTAAAGCATATCTTCTCTTAGCTTGGCTTGACTTCCACTGCCTAGTCTCAGGTCGATCATGGTGAAGAGACAAACACAAGCAAGGAGGACATAACATCTTAATATTACATGAGCTAGACAAAAGCATTAGTGATCCAAAAGATCAAGTTCGGTTGGGACTTTACATCAGAGAACATAGTCTGCAACTGCTTCCTCTTCTCATAACGGACACTTCTTCTCCCACCATCAATTCCACTACGAGATAAATTCAAAAGAAACCTACAATATCCAACACCCAAGGTACTGAAGAAGGGCTAAAAATCACGATTACATTCTCAGCTCTCTCTCTACTTCTCATATACGCTGCTCCATTATGATTCCGCTCAGGGCTTCCCCTTCATTTATTATTGCTTGCTGCAAGTTACTTGATGGACACCCACTGACTTGCGTTTTCCTAAGAAAATCGAAGATACACTCAACATTATGGTCAAGGCACGTGGGAGATGAGAATGCTTCAAGGAACGAAGTTAAGGTATCTGATATCTGATTTTACAGAATCCAAACTAAATTAAATAAACCGGTAAGGTGAACTGGAGTGAAGAATTACATGGTAATCAAGGCAAATCAGTGCATTTGTGCATCTTAATGAGATACAGAAACCATCAGGAAAATCAACCACGGGGACCTTCTCATCATCATCGATCTACCAAGCACGGAAATTCAAGAAGGGAATAAATGTAGAGCACAAAAACATAACCAGAAGACAATTAGCACAGGTATTAAGTTGACACCAAATGCATCCTCTAATAATTAAATTCATTGAGAACACATTGAATAAGACCACGTTCTGCGTGACAAATGATACAGCCAAGTATCATTTCAAAACTGTTTTCAGATTTCTCAATCGCTTCACCTGGACACTGATCAAACAAAAACAATAAAATAAAAAAAAACCATTGCTTGAGCACCAACAGAACAGAAATTGTTCATTTTGTAAACCCAGAAGCATTACACTTGACAAAGAAAGCGAAATACTCACAGTGGTTAACCTTGAACAGGTGATATAACCACACAATGCCTATTACAATCCACAGCTTTGGGAACTGGAAACCCATGCTCTTTCAATGCCTACAAAACCAATAAGCAAAAGTTTCACCACGAACCACTTTAATAAATTTGAATAAAAGACAACAGCAACAGCAAAGGCAACCTTTATAGATGCGAATTCTTTCAGTGTAGCGAATGTTGACAAGTATAGCCAGTTACAACTAGGCAGGTGCCTCAAATAACCCCCCTTGGACTTTGCAGCTCTAAAAACTCTTTCTGTCAAGCCCAAGTAGCCTCATTGCCAAAACAGTATCATCCTCCAAAGCAATCTCATAAATATCAGATTCTTTGTCAATCCGTATTTAAATATCAAATGCTTGTAAGATTTTAGAGAAGCACGTGCTTGACAACAGTAAACAATGATTTATACGTGAAGACGACAGTATAAATTTGGAATCAGCAAAATCTATCACAACCGCATGTCAAGCGCAATGTAAAAATCCTGCCAAATCCAAGGCCACCAATATCAGTGCTAGAAATGCAAAACAATGAAGTCAATAACTGCATAGATTTTTGCATTTCCTAATCAAACCTTCATATGTTTCCTTTATTGCACTAATTGATAAAACCATCCCAAAATTCACCAGTAATCCCTACAAGAACAAGAACCGTCTCTAAAATGGTGAAAGCGGCTGCAGTCCCTCACAACAATGTCTCTTTCAAAAACCTTTGATATTAGCTTAATTGCAAAATGACAATCTGCGCATACTCTTAAATTCTTAATAATCCTAATTTGGGTCCCTGGTAGTGTATTAATGAGCATAAAAGCAATTGCAATCTTCTCACTATGATAAAACAAAGCACTTTCCTTTTCTTCGTCTTCAATGTCTGCAAGCACATTTGCCGTGTGAGGCACATAGCCTGCCAATTTCAACTTCTTGGCTATCTCCACTAACATTTTATATATTGCCTCACTTTGAGGATGAGTCCTATCACCCATAACAAACTCAAGGACATGATTTCCCAACTCTACAAGGCTATACCCTGGAGTTTTTCTGACTCCTTCACTAAGCATTGTCCTTCTCACCTCATGTACATCTGACCAACGCTGCTCGGATGCATACAGATTGGAGAGGAGCACATAATCTCCGCTGTCTTTAGGCTCCAACTGTAAGAGTCGGGCTCTTGCAAATGCTCCTAAGCCTAAATGCCCATGTATTGTACAAGCCCCTAACAAGGTCCTCCAAATAACAGCATTAGGCTGCAGTGGCATATCCTGAATATAATCATATGCTTCTTTCAACAAGCCTGCTCTACCAAGCAAATCAACCATGCAACCATAGTGCTCTATTCTAGGCACAATATCATATTGCTCCTTCATCCTTTTGAAGTATTCAAACCCCTCACTAACTATACCGCAATGACTACAAGCATATAAGACCCCAACAAAAGTGATCTCACTAGGCACCAATCCCTCTCTCTCCATATCCTTGAAATGCTCGAGAGCTTCTTTACCGAATCCATTAACAGCCAATCCAACAATCAAAGAAGTCCAAGAAACCACATTCCTCTCAATTCCCATCTCATCAAAAATCTTGCGTGCTTCACTAATGGTTCCGCACTTTGCATAAAGGTCCAGAAGGGCATTATTAGCATGCAAATTTTTGTTGAGACCAACTTTCACCATAAACGCATGAGCCCTCCTGCCCAAGGCCAACGTTGCAAGCTCAGCACAGGCAGACAGCAAACTAACCATAGTGAATCCGTCCGGCTCAACACCTTCAGAACCCATTCTCTTATAAAGTGTTAAAGCCTCATTGGGTTTCCCGTTCAGAGCAAAACCATTAATCACAGAATTCCAAGCCACAATATCCTTCTCAGGCATTAATTCAAATACTTTGTACGCACTCTCGAACCGGCCACAAGCAGCATACATATGAAGCAAGCTGTTTTGAACAAACAACAATGATTCGAACCCATTTTTTGCAACAAGGGAATGTATCTTTTCACCCACTTTAACATCGACCACCTTAGACACGGCCTTCAAAAGAAAAGGATATGTGTGTGTGTCAGGTTTCAGTTGCATGTGGTGGTACAATTCAATGGCTGGTTTTGGATTTTCACTCTCAGCATAGCCTCTAATCATGGTATTCCATGTGAAAACGTTTGGGCTTTGGATTTGGGTAAAAATATTGTGTGCATAGTTCATAGGGACTGAAAGGGAAACGGCAGTGTATATAAGGTGCTTGGCCATGTCTAAGCTGGTTACTGGGATGCCATGTCTGATAGAGAAGGCATGGATTTGTTTCAGTTTGAACCTGGAAGAGGCACAAATTTGCAAAAGGGCAATGCATTTTCGGACAACGTAAGGTGTTCGGTTATCTGGGCAGGAAGGATATGTACTCATCTTTGCATGTCTGCCGCGTACGCTTCCTTCGTTAGCTTCTGCTAGAAAATGTAATGACTGAAAGCATGGAAGAAGACAAAACAACAATGTCCCTCTAATTTCTGAACACTAAAAACGGATTGCAATGTCTTTGGACTGCCTTTGAACGCGTGTTCTTAAATATCACTTGGACTCAAAAGGCAACAAATTGATTTTTCTCTTGTTTTTGGGGTGAAATGAGAACGGTTTTCAATGATTGTTATCATTAGGCTTGAAAAAACATACTCTAATTTATACCTTTTCAATCCATTTGTATCTTTTACAAAAATACTAACATCAATCATAGGTTGCAACAGAAAATGTATAAATTTCCCAGAACTCAAAGTTCAGTAACTTAGATCGTGAAATAAGTTTAAGGCAGCTTCCATGGATTTATTATTTGATTTGAGATACATGGCCATCAATGCATTACAGATGGCCACTGATTATTCCAGTCCCCTCTTTATCACCAACGCATGAAAGGATTTCCCGAGGTTCTTATGAACTGCTTCAAAGCAAGCACTTACGAAATAAGTGTAAGTAGTATAGACGTCTGACTCAAAACCCAAACCCTTGCATCTCGAGAAAAAGATTAAACGCATCCTCATCTTTATCATGCACTCCATAAGCTGCCAGCATGGAATTCCAGGTAACCAAATCTCGGGTGCCAACAGCACCATCAAACACCCTTTCAGCATCTTCTAATGAACCACATTCCTAGTATCCAGTGAGTGTAGCGTTACATAAAGCATTATAAAATTCAAGGCCGTGTTTTATAATCTTACAGTGAAGTTGCATGGTTAACTTGTAGAACTTGTCATTGTCAAGCAACGTCAAAAGTGGAGCAAACGTGCCATCTTCAACCATAACACGTTCCTTCTCCATCCAATCTAATAGCCAAAATGCAGTGTCAAGGTCACCCACTTGCACAAAGCCATCAATAAGTGCATTCCACCAGACAAAATTACGCGTTCGGATGCCTCGAAACACATCTTAAGCATCTTCAACTCTTTCACACTCGGCATACATGTCCAATAAAGCGCTACCCGCATAAACATTCCGTTCATAACCGATCTTAACAACCAAGGAATGCACTTTTTGTCCAAGATCATATCGAGACGCGCGAGCTACCCCTTTAAGTATACTTCCAAAGGTAAAGCCATCAGCTTGAAAGCCACGTCTTTTCATTGATTTTAGAAAATCCCAAGCAGCTCTCAAGTTCCCAGAATCTACATGGGCAGTGATCTTGGTGTCCAAGGTAACGGTGTCTTTGTGGGGCATTTCGTCGAACAGTTTGCAAGCAAGATTTAAGACTTCGACGTCGCATATCCAATATCGGCTGAGGATGATGTTGGCGAAGTACCTATGAGAAAACATTCCTGATTTGAAAGCCTGGCAATGGGATATGAAAACGCTGTACAGAGCATGCCTTGAGCTCTCGATCACTGAAACCGATGGCCTCGTTCATTCTCACTGTCACGGTGACAAGTTTGGCTGATGTTGGTAAAATGCAAAGCAGCTAAGGTATACTACAGGCAAGCTGTTGTTTTAGCGCCACTATACGGGCCACGACCATATACTAGTGAGTTTGACAACGTCGCCCATGAATCGGCAAAACCGTGTTTAGTGCTCTGAAGTCTGGACATTCAGTCCTCTGTAGCCTTTCTTTTCCTTTCCTTTCTATAGATTGGATTGCTGCTACTCTTTTGAGGGCCCATTAGGGAACGCTGGCACATCTGCGGTTGGGCACCACGTTTGGGAGCGGGCACGAATAATCGCTGCAGCACCACGTTTGGGAGAGGGCACTAATAATCGCTTAGAACTGTTCTAGACTTGCAATGCAAACTTAATCATTGATCCATCTTAGCTATCAATTGAAACTAAACTAAATCCCTTTTCGAAATAATCTTTATGTGTTGAACAAGAAGATCCGAAACCATTTCTAAAAATCCAATTCAGATGAGATCCAACACCGATTTTGGCAAGGAAAATACTGGCGAACACATCTCATAAGAATTCAGTAGAAAAAGAGCCAAAGGTCACATCTTTCTCATTCTTATATCAGAAACTCCCATCACCATCTTCCTCTTTCC